ACATCGTAAAACTTCCTTTCCAGGAAGAGTTTGTCATTTTACACTTAGCTTAGGAAGATACAGTGACAGAGACCCTGAACCCCTCACAGTCCTTGGTGATGTCACCGCGCTTTGTGTAACACTCGTGTGTGTTCATGTGCTTGGAGATTTGATATCTCTGCACACCATTGGTCTTTGTAGGTTTTAGGATGGAGCTTTCTTTCCCCTATTAAGATTTTTTTTTTAATGTGCATGGTGTTTTGCCACGTGTTCCATGTGTACGCCCTTCATGCGTGGTGCACACGGAGGCCAGAAGAGGGCGTTAGATCCCCTGGAACTAGCGTCACTGCGCACTGTGTACCAGCACGTGAGTCCTGGGAATGCAACCTATTGTCTTCTCCAAGAGCAGCCAATTCTTCCAGCTGCCGAGCCGTCTCCCAGCTCCTCTACCCTTACTAAAACCAAGCATTGGCTTTAGCTCAGGTTCCCTTTCACTTTCCAGCCCATTCTGGAAGCAGAGCTGATGTTTGGTGTTTGTCATACATAAGATGAAGTCCTGTTTCCTGGTGGCACCTTTGCTCCCTCTAGTGGTCCACCTGCAACCACAGCCCCTATGGCCTTTGGTTCAATCTCTAACTGGTTCATCCCCTGGGAAGTCGAAGGACAATTCAGGGAAACGTGAGTGCTCCATGGGTTAGACTGGACTAGAACTCAGTCATCAGTGTGTGACTCGATGGAAGGACAAGTGTCAAACTCTGGATGTGAAATTAAACAATATGGATAGATCCAGTTCTTTAACTTTGGTCAGTGTTTAGTGTCGTATCCATTCATGTTCTAGGGTATTTGATTCCATTGTGAACTCTGAGACTGTGAGCTGAAAAAAAACCATTTTGTTGTTGTTGTTGTTGTTATTGTGGCTCAGCCCTCACACACAATTTTAATTCAAGAACTTTCTGTTACTGAAAACAGGTGATTGTGGTATGGCTCAGCCCTAGCATAGGATTTCTCTGTGTATGTACCTTGGCTGTCCTGGACTCACTTTGTAGACCAGGCTGGCCTCAAACTCACAGAAATTCACCTGCTTCTGCCTCCTTGAGTGCTGGGATTACAGGCCTGCCTGTGCCACCATGCCTGGTTTGAATCTACTCTTAAACTATAGAGCTACTACGAGCTAAAAAGCTTACATTAGTATAGATCTTTTTATGTTGTTACAAAATTATGGTTATATTTGTTCACGTTGTTATAGATCTTTGTATATTGATACAAAATTAGGGTTATATTTTGGTATTGTACCTATGTACTTCTTAGAAATGCTATGTGAAGTTCTAGTCCTTTTGAAAGCTACTATCACAAACTGTTTAGGATAAGTAAGAAATGCAAGTTAATATTTCAGTCAATCAAACTTATGGTTTTGTCAGGTACTAGTTTAGTTAATCACAGGTGTTTTCTAAGTTAATCAGATAGTAAATAGCTAGAGAAGCAACATTTGTCTATTCAAATATACTGAGATAAATAGATGGTCTTCAGAAATCTCTGAGATCTATAGAATATGGCATTTAAAGATGTTTTATTAATTTAAGACTTTATGACAATAAGTCATGTCAGCTTTTGGCAGTACCCCCATTCCACTTCAAAGAGGATCAAACAACCTCCATGTGGGGTTTGCTTCATATGTAGTAAGCTAGCCACTGGACAAACTGTATGCAGGAAAGTGGACTGTTGAGCTTTGCAAGGACAAGGTAGGCAAGTCCTTTATAATATCTACTTCACAGAAAAGTCTGCCAGATATACTGAGCCAGAAGGCTGAAGATGATGTTCTAACGTTAGAGAGAAATTTTGGGGGACTGTCCAGGCAGCCAACTATCTGTCATTTCTATAGTTTTGGAAGCTGCTTGTTCTCCACTTCCTGCTTATTCAGAGAATATTTATCCTTCTCAGGTCTCTGATGGGGCTGAAGACTAGATAGTTTATAGGCTTACAATAAAGCTTAGTTGTTTAGAATGTAAGATATTTTAGATCTAAAAAGATGTTTTTTTGATTGATAATTCAAGTCATGATGGAAATTGAGTTAGGTAAAGAACTTTAAACACACCAAGATAAATAGTAGAGTACTTTCTTCCAGTTGTTAAATACCTATGCACTGGACATTGTGAATGTAATTTTTACCTGATAGGATATAGTTTATTGATGTTAGAGAAAAAGTCTTTTATTTAGACAGAAAAAAAAAATGTCGCCGGATATTTGATCCCATTATGAACCCTGAGATTGTGAATTGTAAAAACCTGTTTGTTGTTTGCTGTGGCACAGCTCTACACTCACCTGTAACCCTTTCTGTAAACAGGATTAAAGAGTTAACCCTAGGTCAAGAGATGGAGCAAGAAACCAGAGGACAGGGAGTAAACAGAAAGGAGGGGCATTGAGTTGAGGGGTATTTAAGACAGTGGAGGAGAAGGGGCTTTTGGCTTTTTCCTTCTGGGTTGTCTTCTGAGTAGGGAGGTCAGCTGGGTGCTTTCTCTGCCTCTCCAAGCTAGTAGGTTTTTACCCCAATATCTGGCTCCTGAATCTTTATTGGTAAAATCGAATGATTGGAATTCTCATTCTTTATAACAACACATTGAATATAATTCTAGGTTCTTCATTGGTTTACCAGTTCTTCAGTCTCCAGGACATTGACGATGCTTCTGTTTTGTCTGTAGACCATGTTGTGTCCTTTTGCACATGGATTTCAGTGCTTGTGGCTACTGACAGATGACTCCCAGGATAGTTAAACTTCCTTGGATACTCCTCCAGTGTTCACCTGGATTAGTAAACTTTCTTGTGTTCCTGGGTATGCTGGCCCACACCTTTAATCTCAGCACTCAGGAGGAAGATGCTAGAGAATCTCTGTGAGTTGGAGACCAGCCTAGTCTACAAACTAAATTGCTGGCTAGCCAGGGCTACATGGGGAAGCCTTGTCTCTGCCTCCTGAGTACTGGAATTATTGGTGTGCACCACCATGCCCAGCCAGATTTACTACTTTGCCAGTTATGAGAGGAATATAGAATTTTGTTGTGGTTCTGTATTACATACTCTCAATTACAGGTGGAATTAACATCTTTATATTACCTGGTAGATATTAGGTTGCTATTAATAACCAAGATTATTATGGAGATGATGTATCAGGCTTCTTCTGATGTTTCTCATCCTCCTCCTTCAAACTCATAATCCTCCTCCTTAGCCTTTTAAGTGCTGGGATGACAAGCCTGTGCCGCTGTGCTTTGTGACATCCATGATATGGTGGTCAGGTTAGGTCCTTGACTCCAGGATCTTGACTTCATCCAGTGCCAAGAATTCATTAGGCTTTTGGAACTTCTGGGGGCCTCTGGGCTCTCTGCAGTTGGGTACCAAAAACACTAGGAGTCCAAGCACTGTAGAGCCTCATCTGCATGCTCCAGAGAGGTGCTGTGTTTGAACTTCCCAAGGACGTGTCCTGGCTCTTTACTCATTTGTGTCAAAAGATGTTGATTATGTTTTTCTTTTTTCTTTTTTCCTTTTTGATTGTTATTGATGTTGTTTGGTGCTTTGTTTTTCGAGACAGGGTTTCTCTGGCTGTCCTGGAACTTGCTTTGTAGACCAGGCTGTCCTGGAATTCACAGAGATCTGCCTGCCTCTGCCTCCTAACCCTAGAGTGCTGGGATTAAAGGCATGTGCCACCACACTGAGAATGTTTTTCTGATCAGTGTATCAGCCTCAGAATCAGAAATCTAAAAGTTCATGCTTTGAAGTCCCATACTCCAGACCACACCATTTACATCAAGAGAAAAATACAACACATCCTTCCCTGTGGCTTTTTATAGTCACCATTTTGTAGCAAGCTGGTAGGTTGTCATGGGTGATTATCCTTAGTGCCTCAGGAGAGACTTCTGCCAGTGCCTTGTGCTGGTGTGCCTCCTCTAGCCTGTCACGGAGGTTCATTGATGGATCTCTAAGAAGGAGATGTATGGTGGACTCAAGTTGGCTTCAAGTCTGCCTGTTAAACAGCACCAACCAGGAAACCTTCCTGGATTTGGTCTGTTCTTTGCTGAGGGCCGCACTGTCACTCACTGTATAGCCTAGGCTCACCTCAGACTTGTGGTGAGCCTCCTGTCTTTGCCTCTCAAATGCTAGGATTACAGGTGTTGAGCACCACACCCAGCTAATATCATCCTTTAATTAAAAAACAAAACAAAACAAACCTGTCATTAACAGTTGACATTTCCACCAATCCCTAACACTATTAATGATACTCTGCTATGCTTGTGGACAAGAACCTTATCAGAGTTGTCCTCTTAGAGGCTCCAGTGAGCAACAGTTTGAAACAGATGCTGAGACTCACAGCCAAACATTGGGTGAAGCATACAGTCTAGTGAAGGGGGGGGGAGGGAATAAAAAGACCTAGAGGTGACAGGAGCTCCACAAGAAGACCAACAGAGCCAACTCCCAGATGGGCCTGTGGAGTCTGAAGCACCAAGCAAGGACCATGCATGGACTGGACCTAGGTCCTCTACATATTTTTAGCCGATGGGCAGCTCAGGCTTCATGTGGGTCCTCCAGTAAGCGGAGTGGGGACCGACTCTGATGTGGACTATGTTGCCTGCTTTTGACCACTTCCCCCTACCAGGCCACAGGGGAGAAGATGAACTCAGTCCTCATGTGAACAGATGAGCAGGGTGGGTGGGTAGGGGGGCTCCCCTTTTCTGAGGAATCAGGGAGGAGGATGCAGGAGGGAGGGACTTCGAGGAGAGGAGGGAGGGGATGGAAGTGAATAAATAAATTAATTTAAAATAATAATAATAATAATAATAATAATAATAATAATAATAATAATAA